TAGCTAAATCAGAAAGCAGGTCTAATTAAGCAAGTTTATTCTATATCTTTAAAAGGCTAAGTTGACTCGCACATGCGCGATACATATAAAGCTCTCACTGGCGCCAATCACATGCATGTGTTTTGATCTGTCATTGTCCATCATGAATTTGGTTGACACTTCTATTTTAGAGAAAGGGTGAATAACAATATTAAAATATTTCTTCTAATTAATTTCCTTTCTTTGTGCACATATCCATGCACCGGGACACTAGTTATAATATAATGTTAAGAGTTCAAGTTCTAAATGTCAGTTTCTGGCTCTATCACCCACTAGGTGCCTTGGTCAAGGGGGGGGTGGGGCGGAAATCACATACCCTCTCTAAATACTCTTTTCTCGTGTAGAATATAAAGACAATAATGGTAAATATTCACTTAATCTTTATTTATTGCATGAAACTGCATTAGACTAGTACCTGGCACATATGAAGTACTAAATAAATGTTAGTTATTGCTAAATTCCTGTTAATTTTCTGAGGAAAATGCAGAAAACGATAAACATTACATTTCAGCTACGAAGGATGAATTTATTGATAGTATAGCACTAAAAAGTAGGGTAGTAAGATGGCGGCATAGGTTAACACCGGAGTTTGCTGCCTCGAACAACCACTTCAAAAATACAACTAAAAGATGGAATGGACATCATCCAGAACTACAGGAAGGCTGGCTGAGTGGAAGCTCTACAACTAGGAGGAAAAAGAAAAGCATACTGAGACTCAGAGGAGGCGCAATGCTGAAGTAAAATACTAAGGTGCGGAGTGCATGCGGAGCGGGCTGGCGGCTGAGGGCACGGTTGTCATTTTCAATCGGGAGGGAGTCTCAGGCTCTGAGCTCCAGTTCTGGGCGAGTCTCTCGGGACCCAGACTCAAACGGGAGAAGCGGGACTGTCTGGCATCGGTCGGAACTCGAAGGCAGCTTTCTCTCCGAGGTTTTCAGCGGTTGCTGGAAATCTGAGAGGCAGAGCCTCCGGGGACAGGACTGAGAGCAGCCATAACTGCTCCCTCCACCTGCCCTGTTGATCCCCTGCGACCCGCTCTGCCCCGCACAAGCCCTGCACAGAGCCATTTGCCGGATAGCCTCAGGCAAAGGCTAGATTAGCACCTCCCCAGAGGGCAGTAGTTCTCTCAATGCAGACACAGCTGATTCTCACAGCCACTTGGCCTAGAGGCCAAATCCCCCCTGGTATTAGCTACAACAATCAAGGCTTAACTAAAAGACTGTGCACAAAGACCACTAGGGGGTGCACCAAGAAAGCATAACAAAATGCGGAGACAAAGAACAAGGAC